TGCAACTGCTTTTTTTTTTTTGCCATATTTAAGAAAATATGTGTAAGTCTTACTCAGGAATGCATCCGAATAGATAACAATGAAATGACTAATAGTAACCTTTCAAACTACTTTAAACAGTAATGGTGGTACTGGTAAGGATTTGGTAAAAAAAGTTGACTATTTGACGAATAGTTTTCTTTAATTTTAAACTGTTCTCATTGCTAAGGTTCAACATTTCTATAGAAATTTTGTTGGAAACAGTGGAATAAATATGTTGTTTATTAAGGTTGTAAATATTTTGTATCCACACAGCAGTGTAAATAAAATCGATATAACTTTGAGAAGTTGTGTGGCCAGAAGTTCTTCTTTGATAAGAACATAGGCAAAGTAGAGTGCAGGACATGCATTTATACTTGTAAACAGCACTTCATATTGAGATATTTTAAATAAAGTGATGATGAAAAAAATTGTGGCTTGAACTTATTATAAGTTAGATGTAAAATCCTTCAAAAATGCTGAACACGTGCTGTACAATCAAGCTTTATTTAGTATTATAATAATCCATTCTGCATAATTTACAAAAGTAAAATGATCTGGTCACTATTTCATGTGAAAATCACAGAAATAAAATTTGATTTATAAAAAAAAATGTAAAATTAATGCTGCATTATTAGATAATATGTACATCTTAGCAGAAAATTGGACGGGATTTCTGATGTGCTGCATCATTTTAACAAAAAAACTTAAATTTCTGTAACTAGTAACTTTTAAATTCCCAATGCACATTGTGAACCGTTGGTTAATAATAATCCATTTAACAGCTGGTAATATCATATGGTGAAAACAGACTGAAAAATTAAAACAAATTACACAAAAAAGTGCAGTTTGAAATAATTTTACCTTGTCTGTAAGTCTAATTGCACTTTTTCCAATTTGTAGCAAGAAGTGCATTTTTTCACATGTAAGTCTACAAAGCCTTTGATTTTTTAGCAGCAGCTTTAACAATAGAAAATAATTTATCTGGCATAAGAGAGAGAATATTATATTACAGAACCACTGAGGAAAAAAATCAGTAAAAGGAATTATGTACATTGGACTCTGAATACAAAAAGTGTCACCAAAAAATTGCAAATGATGCTCATTAAGTATCAGATCAATAGAGAAATAAGATCTAGAACACAGCCTTATGGTAAAGTTACCTTGTTTAAAAAACTGGACGGACCTGAAATGAAATACCAAGCATACACAGGTCATCTTAATTCAATGTGGACAAAATCATCCACACATAAGAGGAAGATGCAATAAAAGAGGAAGATGCAGCTTCAGCAGCTAAAGAGGCTTACAACGTATTACGACTAAGGTACACACTGATAGTTTTGAAAACACTGAACACCATGCTTTTCCTGATAAACTTTGCACTGAAATGATCACAAATTATGTGCATAAAATTATTTAAAAATAATAAAAGAGATAATCTGAATATATCTGAGACCCTGCATATCGCTGAATATATTATAATATTGTTAAACACTACAACAATATAGGTACACGTACATTAAAAACGTATCACAACACAACTGAGCAATACCAGTCTCCTTTTTTTTTTAAACAAATAAGTGCTAAATTCTTCATCATCCTCCTCATCACAATCCACATGATCAAATTGCAATATATCAAAATATAATCTACACCCAAAGGTTATACATGATAATGCGAAAAGAGATAAATGCATAAATATTTACAAAGTGCATTGTAGTGATCTTCCATATATTAAAGTATATAGGAAAATTCTAAGACATGTAAAAATATACATTGGAATGGTTATAGTTCTACTGAACAAATAAGATACCTAGAATAAGAGAATAATTCTGTTCTCGATAGCAATTGCATTTCTTTGGTTCATTGTTTATAAGAGATATGAGTTAAGAATAAGACAAGAAGTTGTTAAAGATCACATCACTTCAAAATTCATCAGGTTAATTAACTTATGGGAATATATGAGATTTTATACACAAGGTAAAGTAAAGCAGACCTACATACAGTCAACAAGTATACATATTCTCAATTTATTCACATCTCATAGCTCTGGCATCTGTTCAAAAGTTTGTGCATATAATGGCATCATATTTATATATATGTAACTTTATGAAAAAAAAAATACCTCCACAGAAAGAACCTCCACATACAAAAGTGAAATCACAGATTTCTTCAACCATTTCTGATAAAAGACACAAAGAAATTTCTCAAGGTCATCAAAGGGTGAAGGTTATTCTCAAATCGCTCACTACAGGTGCAGTTCATTCTTCAATCAAATATATCTATCTTTTTTTTTACTGTATAACACATGCTCTGCTTTTTCCCACTTCTTCTCCAGTTTTCCCACTTTTTACCGCACCCTTGTTTCCATTCTGTACTGCCCTCTGAGCCTGGAGTAACTGAAAGTCGGGGAGAGAGAAATTCCATGAGACACAATATTTATAAAGCTTTAAAATGATTGCTTTAATACAGCTGACCACTGTAATCACTAGAGAACATCTTCATTATAAGTAATCTGACTTTCAAACCACTGTAACTGTATCAATTTCCAATTTAAATAAATCATTTTTTACAGACACATCAAATCCTTTCACAATAAAATTGTTTCTAACAATATATTATTATTCTATTTTACAAACAAAGTGCTTGCAAATCACAGTTAAGCAATAAAGCAGACAACTCTAAAGTTATTCTGACGACCAGCTTTCAAAGCTCAAATCAAACAGCTGGAATCAAAATCAAAATCGAGGGAAATTTGTCGTCACTTTTGTGGAGATCTTGCAATGCCACTTTTGTACAGGTATAATAAGTAGGGCATGGTCAAAACATTATACATGAAAACAAACTTAAGATACACATGAATATTTCCCTTGTGTGCTTAAAGGTTCTGAAGACCAGATTATATATATATTTATACCATCTCCCTTGTGTGAGGTGCGGTCCTGTTTAGTTTGGTTCCAACTAAATCAGTTCAACATATAGTCGCATTTCATTAAAGATTAGACCTTTTTTCTCTGCAGCTCATCTGACTAAGCCAAGCTAACCATATGCAGCAAATTTGGAAAATCTCTCTTTGAAGACAATCTTAGATAAACTTTCTTTTCAAGCCATGAAGCTGGCTAATTCAAACCAAACCACGAAAAAGAACAACAGTCAAATATGGCTTAAAATTATTTCCATTTGCATTAGCAAAATTAGAATACCTAAAGTTAGTAGCTGACTAATCTTTATTATGCAAAAGCAACCATAATTCTGTTCTCAATAGCAGGCAATCGCGCTAGTAAACTGAGAGATTAACTGACAGCTCTGGTTAACTCGGCAAAATCAGACAGCTTGAAGGGACATGTTGTATCAAGAATATTTCAACCTATCAATAATGTATATGCGACTAATGATCGGTCGTGCACGTGCTTCCGAAACCCTTTAATTATCCATTCAGAGGACCAATTCAGATCATACCAAACTTCCGACCCAACACAGAATTACACATTTTTTTATCAAAAATAGAAAGTTAAAATTGTTAGCAAAATATAGTTTGCTTTTCAATATTACTTATTTAGTGTCAAGTAAAAACTGGGTCAACATTTTTATTTAAGGTGAACTTTCTGAAATATAGGTCAAAAGGTTCTAGTAATGATCCAAGTACAAATTTGGTTCCTCTGAATGATCCTCTAGATAGGTATAATTTTGATTTGTGTATAATATGGGAAACAGCTGCATGCAGAATCCAAGGGGGGTGGGGGTGCACATGGGGGTATCACTTTACAACAAAGCGACAATAAAATCCTTTTTTTTTTTTTTTTTTTTTTGCATGCTGGTACAAACTTAACACAGGGGCATGTTCACATAGAAAATGAGGGTTTTTGTTAATTCATGCTTTGAAATGAATAAATATACTTCCATTGGACTGTTTTGTTTGTAGATTTACACATCCGTCACCTCACAAGTGCAAAACTGAAAATTTAGAAACTAAAAAGGTTTGTTCAGACTGTTTCAAAGTAATAACTAATTTGGCAGAAGGATACAGAAAAACAGTGAAAACTGAGAAACAGTCTTTACATACCACAACAGAAATACAGACAGAAGACAACAAAAGAGAGTGGAAACAGGCAATCACCTTTTGTTTACATGATGAAGTTTCATTTTTACCATCAAAAATAGCTCTACAGCACCATAATTGACGGTGTCCATTTAGTAGTCAGTAAATGAACTAGTATTCCGAGGAAGACTTCGGGGCAAAACAAAAACCAAAAATTCTGCACAAGGTCAAACAGCATCTTAAATTATAATCTTTTGACAATTTTAGAAGGTAAAAAAAAAAAGAAACTTCATGATGTAATTACTGGTAGACAATCAGATGAAACATTCAGTGGATTCCATCACCTCTTTATATGAAAAAGACACCAAACTATGACACTACCTGAAACCTTATAAATTATTCCCATAACTTGACTTAAACAACAACTGTGTTAGTGGAAATTAGTCAGGAGGTTAGTTTTAACTGTTAATTACATAGGAAAAGAGTGACCTTCAGCATTACAAATAAAATGATAGACATAAGATTCTCTGCAAAATGCTTGCTCATAATCCATAAGCAATTTCAATTGATTTTTAGTTAGTAAAGCCACTTGTAGCACAGAATGAAGCCTTGCAATAACCTTCTTCAAACAAAACACAGCTTTCTTATACAAGTGTTCTGATCTAAAAGCATTTTACAAACAAATTTATCCAGCACTGCCATTGTGAATATGTTATAATGAAGCAAATAGTACTTCAAGCGTCGTAATAAAAAGCAGTGCACGTACGTCACTGTGGTTTGCCTGTGATTGCTGTGACTGTTCTTCTAACGCCTTAATCCCATGTAAAACCTATAGTGATAGATCACACTGTTGATAACAGAAAATGGTGCATTGAAGATACACTCGCCCACCTTAATTAAATAGGCATTCTGGCATTAAGTGCCACAGTGCAACAAGTGCTTTGCAAAGCTTTTGAATGCGATAAGTGCACAAGTGTGTGTGTGTGTGTGTGTGTGTGTGTGTGTGTGACAAAACATTTTATAATACAAATACTTGATTCCGACAACAACTTACTACTATAACAGTGACTGTACCAAAACTACGTACATTACTAAAAAGCCTCAGGCTTATCGATTCTTTAATTTTCTGTTAAAAAGAAATTTCCTATGTCACGTAATTCCTATAGTAAACTGTAGTATCACAGGTGTGTGTGATTATTGTCCGATTTATCTTACTGTGGTGATGAAGCAATTACAAATCAAAGTACAAATTCAGTGCTTTATGAAATAATAAGAAACTGAAACTGCATAAAAATCACATGACGAAGGCAAAAATTACAGCAAAAAGGATATATAAAGTCAGACGAAATTTTCATAAGATATAAAGCCATCCTTTGCCACAAATAACTTGTTACAGAAGCAGCTATTTAATTCAATAGCCTCCTCTTATTTCGGCTAAATAAACACAATATGAATAACATCATTAATAGAAGTGTTTGTGGCACAGAATGGAATATGCAAATAGAAAAAAATAGTAGAAAAAATAAACAAAAAATAAAATGACATAAAATTGGCTTGAGATATTATGTACAGCTAAATAGTTATTCAATAATAAAAACTATGCCAATAATACATAAAAGCTGCTAAAAATTAAACCAATTAGAAGTTAGATGACAAATGTGCCTGTTAGTATATTTTGTTATAATGTTAGTTTCTGAATGACATCAAAATATTATAACCAGTGGATGCCCCTAAAAGATCCAGTTATCTCAATCATTGTAAAAGGGAAATATAAAACACTGAAGGAATCTAGGGTTATCACTACCATGGTGCATGTATAGTAACTATTACGATAACCACTTATATATTTTAGTGCACTTCATCTATTGAAAAAAAAATTAGATCAATAGGAAGACTGACCAATTTCAAGCTAGCTCACTCCTATCAGTAAAAATAAATAAATTATTTAATAAATTAATAACAATAAATATTAATTCCTGGAATCAATAAAATAATCAAAATCTTTCTTTTCTCTTTATATTTTGTTAATCACATTTTCCCTTCTTTTTTAAATAAGATTTTATGCTAGGGTGAGCTTGCTTAGACTGAAGTTCTTCAGAGGTAAATAAAGGACAACAGTTTGCACATATGTGTGTATCAAACTGTAGGAAAATAAATGAGAGAACAGTTTCATTAGCTCTGTATGTATAAATTCAAATTACTGTTTTTCTTTTTATCAAGAGCTTGTAAAATATGTGGGTATTACCTCCAATATCTCTGTGACTGTCAGTCACCATCATCAGTTACAACACAAGGCCAGTGATTAGGGGCAATTGACCTGGATTTTCATTCCAGGTGAAATGACCCTAGTCATTTACTCCCTGATGATGGTGACTGACAGTCACAGAAATATTGGAGGTAATACCCACATATTTTACAAGCTCTTGATAAAAAGAAAAACAGTAATTTGAATGTAGGAAAATAGTCTACTACAAGTATGTCGTTTTTCAGAAATACACATTACATGGTACCTTTTTTCACTTCATCACAATACAAAACTCAAAGAACCCACCGTGTTATAGAAGAAAATTACATATATATTTAGTATTTAAACTACTGGATGAATTAAGGTCACATGCCACTGTCAAGGTCATATTCAACTTACTTTCACTTTCATTTTCTTAGGTACAAATAGGTCACAAAAGGTAAAATTCGATAAACATCACCAACACCATGGAAAGGTTCAGCTAGCATCACCAAGCAACCAAATTGATCTCTATTTACCAGGAAATCATTTTATAAAATGACTACATAAGTCGAATGTTTTCTTACTCAAGAAAATGAACTAAAATGCAACTTTAAAAATGATCTATAAGTTTGCTTTCCTATTAGTATGCTTCAGTTTTCTCCTTTTTTTTATGCACTTTAACTCTAACCCTACAGCAAATTGTGAATGACTTTACAATAATAATCTTCGTGGTTATTAACTAGCCTGCACAGATATATCTACTTCATTTAGTATGACTCATCTTTCTGAGAAATTCTCTCAGACTAATTAGCTTTGCAAAACAATCCGAGCTAAGCTCCCTACGCCCCTCCCCATAAAAAATAAATAAATAAATAATAAAATAAATAAATAAATAAATAAAAAGGTTCCAGCAACAGGTAACTTTATAACCTACTGACAATCCAGCAGATTGAAGTACTACAGTTTGTATGGCAATGTCATCTGAACCTTAACCCGTTTTACACCCCTTTTCCAGAGATTAGATCGATCTACTTTAGATCGACCTAACTCCCTGGGGGTTCACGCTAAATAGCTGTCAGCCGGGCGGACACGAAAGTTAATTACACTCTTACAGCTTGTAGTAGGCGGGACGGACATTTAAGCCGGATTATCTGACAGTAATCTGGTGAGACTCCCCACGGGGATAGATCGATCTAAAAGCTCTGGGAACACAGCCTTAGTTTTAAACTGTGCCTGGAAATACTTTAAGATGACAATGACAGTGACCAATGACACCCAAGAGTCACATGCGACTATGAAAGAGACAGATGAAAAAAAAAAAGGTCAGGAGACTAATTCTGACACTCACAACGTTAAAGTTCAATAATGACAGAGAAGAAAACATCGAGGAAAAAATACAAAGAGAACTCCAGCCCAAAAGAGAAATAATAAAGCCACCAGTTTTGCACTTGTTGGGTATTAACGCCATCAATGGGACGCCAATGACTGACAGTCACTTACTTCGTTAATTTTGGCTTTATTTTCTGATATCTGAGCTAATCCATTTTCACCATGATGTTTGGTTAAATTTTCATAGTCCACAAACCCATCATTTTCACGAGCTTCTGCCACAAAATCTTTCTCTTCCTCTCCAAACACAAACAGACTGATCGTATCATCTGCTTGTTTTATATTACTTTTTGACTGAAATCAAAAAGACATCAACCACAGTTCAATAAAATGTGCACCCTATGAGGAAACCATGTGCATTTCGTACAGACCAGGTCAAAATCTGTCAGGAGATCAGCTGCTGATTGGCTCAAAAATTGACCACTCAGAATTAACCATAATTCTGATTGGCCAATTAAAAACTTGATGCAGTCACACAAACACATATGAACTAGAACCTGGTTTGAATATAGACCTACACTAATGATATAGCACTTCAAATGCCACTTTTTGACAATGCAACCCTGGCATAATTTTATGTAAAAGTTGATGTATAATGCGACTTCTATTTTTTATCTTTAAGTTAACTTTCTAATCGAACTGGTGTTAAATAACGCCTGATGTTCATGTCTACTCAATGCTTTAAGCTTTAAAAGTCCTTTTCAACATATTCATGTATGCTTAGCCAACATGTAACCAAATACCTCTGAAATGCATATTGGGCTAATTTTCCTTTCAATGTGGATATAAATAGAAACATGACCAATAAGAAAGGGGGGGTTGGCACAATATGAAATTTGGAAGTGGTCTATTAATAGGCATGAAAAGTTCTAGTTAATAAGTTTGCATGTTGTGTGCTGCTACAAGTTAACCTGGAATTTGATCTATAATATATTAATTTTTTATTATCAAATGTTCATTACAACTATAATACGTGAAAAAAATCAAAACATGAGACCATTATCTCTAATCAAGGAGACCATATACACGATACACCTCGTTGTTTTAATGTAGCATATGTATACAAAATCCTCCCATGGGGTCTAGCATCCAACTAAGCACTCTTTATAGGTAAAGCCAGTTATTATCCTATATTTGTCCTGCTTATAAGGAGTATACAAGATACAGTAACTACAAGTTATTAGTCTTACATTCTCAGAGGAGTTAGCTTCATAGGTCTTGTGTGCTTGTATAACCTAGTGTGTTAGAACAAAATGTGAAATAAAAAAAAAAACAAAAACATAACAGTACTGTTAGTCAAATCAACATGAAATAACAATGTGAAATGTCACACAGCTTGAGAAAAAGTGAGAAAATGCTCATAGAAGCTTCTGACAGCCTACAGACTGAAGGTGTATTTTTCTGCCTACTAGTACAAGCGTTGTAATAGACTATAATACTTTGGTATGTAAGCTTTATAAGACAGGCAAAGCTCAGTGCAAGGCTTCTTCAACTTTCCTCACATTGTAGGATTGAACTGACAAATTATATTATTTCAAGAAAATACATCAACTTAAATTTTATAATTTCAAAATTTTATTAACATTCTATAATTCTATTGCACTTTTGTGAACCTAATGCACTTTTGTGAACAGGAGTGAAATAGTTCAGAATAATAAAATATACATATTTCATTTCATTTCAAACTGTTCAAATTCGGTCCTGAATAGTTTTTTTTTTTCTGATGAGGAAGGCACGCACAGAGCAACTTTCCTATTTTTTTTCTAAATCTTGCTCAGTAATATACTATAAGCCATACAAGAGATAGGTGAAATTGCAAGAACAGTTCTGTAGCTACCTGGGCCATCTTATACCCCTTCAACATCTAGGTAAAGGAAGTAAGAAATAATTTAATGGAATGTAAAAAGCAAAATGAAGGTAATTGATAAAACCATGCAAAATAAATAAATAAATAAATAAATAAATAAATAAATAAATAAATAAATAAATAAAACTGAAAAGTAAATCAATTCTTTGCCATGTAACTAATTTCAATTCATCTGCAGAGAAAGCAAGATTTTTTAAAAAAGAAAACAGCTTATTCAAAGATTTGTTTTCAAAAGATATGCACATTAACTTTCATTTAAAAGCTAGCTGTAAGATGAGAGATATTGCCTATGACACCAAGCATGAATTGCTATGAAATCATAATACAAAACTACAATATTGCTTGTGGAAAATTACAACTTTGTTATAATAGTTTATAGCAGGTAAAAGCTTTGCGATCTTTGAAATTGATTCATATGACTAAGATTATAATTTATATTTAACGCAGTTGCATAGTAGATGAAAAAGAATACTAAAAGCATTGTAGGGTGACTCCGTCACATCCTAGATGCCTAAAAATACTGCTTGTCATTGGTGTACTTTTATAATGTCCAAACATTATTCATTTCTTTTATAATATTCAAATTATTGTCAACATTGCCTTAATCTAGCCTTTATATAACCGAACTCACATAACAAACAATTGACAGATCAAATCATTTCAATTAAATACTTTTGAGGGGAGCTGTGGAAAATAAATACATAAATAAAATTACGTAATTATGCACTTTTTTCATTCCAACTTTTAACCATAAAAATTCTTTAACTTGAATTATCCTCTTTTTTGGAAAGACTCCATGTCAGCTAAAATTGCTAAGGGTAAAAAATTCAGTAACAAAATGCCAGAGTTATTCTATGTGAATGTCTCAAAGTGAATAGACATTCTAGTTCATATTTAATCAAATTTGGAGAAAATCTGAAAAGCCGTCCAAATCATTGATAAAACTGACTATTTCAGGCTTTTTATCTCAAATGCCTATTTTAAAGTGCAGGATCCTCATGTGAAATCTGAGACACTTGGCAACTATACAAACATTGGCCACTTTACTTGGTCATTTAGACCCAAAGCAATTTTAACTTAAAAGTCTTAACTCGAGCAGTTCTACATCATCATCATCATCACATACATAGGGTGCATTGGCAATGAATCTATTGTGCTAGCTAACTCTCGCTGATTGCAATCAGATTCACTAAATAACACCCCCTCTTGTGTCCAATGTACTCGTATAATCAGGTGTTCAACTGATTGCTTTCAGCAAGTCCCAGTGGAGCAACTGTGCAGTAGCTAGTACAATATCTTCATTGTGAACACATCCACGTTAACAATTTACTGATGGACTATAACTCAATAAACAGATTAAAGCAACATCTCAATGATACACTCAGTCTATTTATAACCAGTAACAGAGTGGTCAACTGTCTGGAATGACCATGTCCACTACCACGTCCACTACATACCTTATTCAACATCTGGACCCTGGTCTTGAGTTTGGTCCCAGTGCTGTGGGCTAGGGCGTGAACTGCCCGGTGGAATGCCAAAAAGTCTTGTTCTTCTGGTTTTTTGTTGCCCCATTCCTCACACATTTGCTGGAATAAATTTTAATTTGATTTAATTAAATTTAAAAATTCAACTTTGTTTTTGAATCAAATCCTTACTTTTTATAATACATCTTTGAAACAGTTTCAGTACTTACTTGTCTTGCAGTAATCTTCAAATGGCTAGTTTAATTTTGTGCCTTTAATATGGATAAAACACATGTGACTATTACACTGTGGAATATATGCAATATATAAGTCTTGATTAAATCAAAATTTGAAAGTTTTTAAAAATTTTATGAGATAATTTTACGCTGCTGAAAATAAAATCAATAATCATTCTTATTCAAGTATGTAAAAAATTACCATACCAGGCAGTGAACCTTATACTAGTCCATGCCCAAAGGTTACCTGTAATCTCCGTTCCTTCTGTTCCAGCCGTTCATATTTCCTCAGAACCAACTGGTACTCAGACTTCAAGAGAGCGCTCTGGTCTCGTTCTGGGTCCAGACCAAACGTGGTATTCCGCCTGTGCATCTCTGACTGAGGACTGGTCATGTTTTCCATCTGACGTAATTCCTGTTGAGGGGAGGGGGATTAAATACATTTTGATACATTAGTTGAAGTTGAAAAAAAATTAAATATAAGATGTTTTTAATGTATGGTGAGACATAAATCAACAAATAATTATATCAATAAATAAATCAATAAATTTATAATCCTTGTAAGTGAAGAAACTGGTCAATTAAGCCCTTAAATTATTGTGTTCTTCATTCTTTTTTAAAAAAGGTACACAAATTTCAAAACCATTTTTAGTAAGACACTAAACCTCAAACAATTTGATAACCAAAGTAACTGCAAGCATTGGTTCCTTTTACCAAAATATATTTTAAGTTCAAAGATTAATTTTAAATTCAAAACGTACCTTTGTTGTCATTTTCATAAGTTTGGGATCAGGTGTGGAATCCTCTTGCAGCCCATACATCATAAGAGTGATACACTTGGTTTCAAAGTTATCTAAATGTTCCTGTGTTATAACTGGTATTGAGAAAACTTTACTGTGGTTGAACACAGGACTGAGGGACCCTCGGACCATTGGGGTCTCAGTGTATTCTTCAGTTTCGCCTTGAACGGTTGGGACTTTGTACTTGATTCGTACTCCCTTGGAGAACCTTGCTTTGTGAACTTCGGCTTTTTGTACAGTTACCTAAAGGACCAAGGGATATAACTTGTATCAGTATTGAGAAAGGGTCACAAAATTGAATGCAATTTCTACTTTTTGGTTTTAAATTATTTAGTTACCTGAAAGACCAGGGGTGGTAAAATGTGAATTTAATAAATAATATTTTCTTTTTAATGTGGTACATGTGATAACGAATTGCCAGTGAAAGACAAAACACATTCTCATTCTTTTTTTTTTCCACTTCAAATCTGGAAAAACATTATCTTGGGGAAAATATATTTTCCTTAATAACTTTCATACATTTTAACAAAATACAATAAAGCAGTCTCTACCCACCTTATAATGGTAAGGTTTCCCAAGTAAATCCTCGGGAGAATCCACAAAGGAATCGTCATCCAAGTCATTTCCTTTAGCATTACATGGAGCCACAACTACCATGATGGTGCCTTCCTCCTGGCCCTTGTAGTCTGTCACGGTCAGCGTGTCCTCGAAGTCCAGGGCGTAACCCAGGGACTGGAGAAATACATTGGCTGTTCCAATGAGAACATCCTCCGTTGGCTCCCAGAATGGATCTTCCTCCTTTGGCAGGTTTTTGACGGCAGCGTCTTCTCCATCCAGGAACCTCTGGTAGAGCTCCTATGAAGAATATACAGGACAACATTATTTTATTTATTAGTGACATGGATTACAAGATAGAAACATGCAATGTTTTTCTGGTAAACAATCCATTGCTCTTATGCAAAATACCTGCTAATTTACTGTGTGTGCGTGCATGAATGTGTGTGCATGCCTGTGTTACGACACACATTTATTTCCTGCTAATTTAACAATTATATAAAAACTGGAATGAGATCATCTTGCAGTCAGCGCCACCTATCTTCTAATCCCCACCTGAGCCAGATATCGTCTGTTCATGAACTTCCCTCTCTCCCACAACCAAGTGTTTCCATTCAACAGGTTCTTCATTTTCACCATCACTCTGAAGAAAAAATATAAACAGATCATCAACTGTCAAAATTCTTCCTGAAATAATTCACTTGCACACTGACTACTTCAATAATTTCAAGCAAGCAAGAATTAGCAGCAGGAAGGCTATAATAATGTAGTATTTAAAACAATATCAGCACTGTCGCTCTTTCAGCATTTTTTTTTCAACATAAGCACGATAGCATGTTTGAGAAGCAATTTTTTTTTATAAATTCACACAACTAATATAATGGCTTTCATTAAACGATACTAGGCATTATCTGTTTTCCAAAATTTAACTACGGTNTATAGACAGAATTTGTGCATAAGACATTACTTTCTTTTATTTCTATGAAACCCAAATTACAAAATGTTGATGGCTTCATGTAAATTCCAGTGGTTTGTTGTAAGATAATATATAGGAAGAAATATTTCTGCAGGGAAGTTCAATACATACAACCATCAAGATTTGACATGTGTAGCTATGACAAGAAATGGACAATGTGTTCAAATATCACAGCAAAGTGCTTCAATTAAAGAACCAAATTGTTCAAACAATACACAACCTAAAAAAAAAAAAATGCACACGTGCTCCACGATATCACTGCAAACAGTATCCAATATCAAAATTTCACGATTCTGTTCTTCAAAGTTGCACTTAAAATTGCTACCAGAAGACCACTGGGTGATTTCCAGAAAATATTCTCATAACATGACTGTATAAAATTAACATTTTAGTTTGTATACCTGTAAGCGTTAGGGGGAATTTTAAAATGTCCTATGTAAAATGAAACATGACATTTTTCCATTATATCCTTATCTTTTCTTTTCTTTTTTCTTTCTTTTTCTTTCTTTTATTTATTTATTTATTTATTTATTTTTGGGGGGGAACAACTACATGCATTAAAAGTTGCAGGTTGGGTTTGAGCTCTATCAAATACACTGGGTATAGCAAGCAATTCTTGGCATGAACTTCAAGGCATTTTTAAAAATTAGCACAGACCACTTTATACTGGCTTCCATTATAGCACAAAAAAATGGTATCAATAAGATTTAAATCTCCAAGATCAATATGAACCCCACCTTGAAAATGAAGATAATTTCGAAGTCATTATGAGGAAAAATTTGGGGCTCACTTTTCATGAAAGTGGCTCAAGGACACCATGAAAGTTGTGCTAATGGAATTCCAGTGATACTGTCAGGCATTACGAAGAACATCTTCCGTATCATGTTTATGTTTATTCTAATTAAAATCAGACCTCAGAATCTGTTATCAGACACAGTTGGGCCTTATTCATTTTAATCAGAATGATCACATATCACTCACAAGTTTCGAAATCCATTGAAAACTCTCCCAGCTGACATACTGGGGTTAATACTAGTACTTTATGTACATGAAGAGATGAAAGTGGGTCTTTATAAAATCTGGAAAATGCTAGCAGTGATGCAGTGCATCTTTAAAAGTGGAGAAAAGGGGCAAAAATACAGGGTGGATTGAGGTAGTCTACTGGGTCTTCTGAACACATTTTAAAATTAACATTGATGGGTATCTAATTTTCCCATTGAAAGACAGTCAAAAAAAAGAGGACGGATCAACAAAGGATTATTTTGAAGACTGTCTGAAATTTTCTTTAGACCCACCCCTGAATACAATACCCAAATATCCAAACTTTGAGGGGACTTTCATCAATCTACAAGTATAGTGGGAGGCATGTTTGTGCAGGGTTTGGGAGAGTGTTCATTAGAAAGCTTAACTGAGAGTGATGTGCACTACAAATGAGCAGAAAAAAAAATCTAGAAATAAAAAAAAGAAAATGAAAAAGTAAAACCACTGCAATCCAATGTTAATATCACAAAAGCAGTGCAATAAAAAGGCTTGGCTGTATACCTGATCCCAGCTTCACCACTGCTCAAAGAAGAAAATAATTAAAATTTTATTAATTAACCAAAGAGCTACAATCTACAAAATAAAAAGGTCTAAGATTAACGAAGCTGTAATTGTCATAAAAGTAAAATTTTTGTTATAAGCTGTGAGCTTTTCTATCAAAATGATGTTAAATTCTACAAAAACAATGAACAAAAATGGGAACCTATCTTTATCCCCCACCCCTACTGAAATGTCTATATTAAATACCAGGGGCGGATTTAGGCGGTCTTCTGGGTCTTCCGGAAGACGGTCAGATTTTCAAGTTTACATTGACGGGTATCTAATTTTTTCTGTCGGAAGACGGTCAAAAATGGTGGATGGATTAACAAAGATAATTTGGAAGACTGTCAGAAAATATCTCTGGATCCGCCCCTGAATACACACATGCTCCTAAAAAGTTCTCTTCTCCAGCTTTTAAGTTTCTTTTCTCCAAAATTTGGAGCCATATTGCTAACTACCCTGCCACACACAATACACCCGAAAATATTGCAAAAAAAAAATAAAATAAAAAATAAACAAATAAAAAAAAAAAAGACACCAAAAATCAGGATAAAATATAATGAACACCTAGCAATTGCACTATCTATTTGAATTTGTTAATTTGAAGAGAAAAACTACTGTATCCCAACTTACTTAACACCACTATAATAAAC